TTGATGACAAATGATGTTCCGTTGTACGTAATTGAACAAAACGCTTAGCTTACTATGAAGCTACATAATTATTTTTATGACATGAATCCAGTACATAATAAATCAGTATAGTAGTTGACTTGATGCCTACATACTCATTAAATTGAATTACAATTAACAACTATTCAGAAAAACGTGAATAATTATAGTCTTTGAATACAAAGTCCTTTTATACTTGAAATGAATCGTCATTAGGTGCGTTTCAGTGCGTTCAGAAACCATTATTTTAAATTATCTATACATATAATAAATCTGTAGAAAAGTCGTGTCTGTAATTCTAATATATTGTTGAAGAAACAAGTCCAGAGGACTAAATAAAGGTTTCTGAATCCAAATCAGTGGTTTTTAGAATTTTCGTCTGTCTGTCTGTCAGTCTTTCTGTCTGTCTGTCTGTCTATGTATTCCGGATTCACACAAAAACTACTGAACTGATTTACATGAAATTTTGTATATAGGTAGTGAGTAACCCGGGGCAACTTATAGGCTACTTTTTATCCGATTACGGAACTTCAAAAAAGGAAGGTTAAGTATTCTATTTTCTTTTGATGTTAATTTTCTATTATATCTTAGTTATAGGCGGGATGACGGGTATTTTTCAAATAAAAACCATATTTGTAAATAAAGTAAAGTTTAAAATATATTTATAATCTTGGTAAAATGATTTGAAACTACACCGATTTGGTATTCAAAACAGCGCCATGTATCATCAAATGGAAAAGTAGTATATTTTGCCTTCAGTTACTAATAAATGAAATAATATCAATAACTTACATTTATATGATTAAATGATAAGATTTTTAAAATTATTAAAAATTGTAACGTTTAGTTTTTTAGTATTTTTGTTATTTTATTTTAAAAGTGTAATAATTTAAATAGATAATAGTGACGTCTATCAAAAATATGAAAATTGATAAGTTATTTATTTCAATTACTAATATATATGTAAAGTGATTAAAACTGGTCTGTCTGCAATTGTTGCAAAATTTTCATTATCGTTATAGTTTTATTAAAAAGATTTTTATGTATGTCGTGGCCAGATCGTAGAATTGATCATATATTGACTGGTAGAGAATGCCTCAAGGCATTAAGTCCGCCGTTTGTATTCTTTTAGATTAAGGAATGCAATAAAGAATAAATAAATAAGTATATCATAAAGTAATCTATAATTTCGTGAAATGGTGTGGTCATTTCATGATATTTAACACTGTTGACCATGTCATGGTATAGCTTGACCAAATCAATGAATAGAAATCGTTTGAAGATATTAATAACTAAACACAACGTTGCTATTTCATAATATGGTCATATGACGATATCATTAAATCGTTTTTCATCGCTAGCGGCGCTGATAGCCTATTTTTAACAGAAAGAGAACTTTTAAGAAAATTGACATCACTTTTTTCCTTATCGATATAATAAATAAATGTTCGCTTCAATTGCTGACTACTAGATGGTATGGTTTTGGCTTTCATTATTTCATCTAATATTAGCGCCACCTACTTACTTCTAAATAAACTAAAATGGCAAGTCATTGATAAAATGAAATAATACAATGCTACTGAATATACGATGTGAATAATTGAATCATTTACATTACATTCATCCCGCGTTGGAAGCAGCGCAGGGAACACTTTTTTGCCCAAAAACTGCGGCCTGTGCCCAGTAACATGTATGTAAGCTGCTACTTTTTTACTTTTTAAGGGGAATATATGCAGTTTTTATATCATTCGTGTTTTCGGGTATGTTGCTTTTTGTTTTCACTCTGCCGTAAATATTAACGCTTGCAAAGATAAGTAGAACTCATTATCGTCAGCCTATCAAAAGTCCACTGAAATGAACATAAGCCTCCCCCATAAATTGTCAAGTAGCTGGATATTTGCTATAGTTGCCACGCTTGGTAGGCGGGTTGGCAGCCGCAGCTATTATTATTATTTTGATCTGTTGTCAAGAAGATGATGCATGCCATCCCATCTCCTGTTTGTTTTCCTATGTGGCCTCTTACGACGGGACGATATGAAGTGATGGATTTTCTTTCACCGCCACAACAGGGCGAATATTTTTCTACTCCCTTTCATGAGTTTAGTGCTCCTCACGTTCACTTTGAATAAAATTTATAAGGAATAAAACTAATTTTAAGGATTTTATCGCGTTTAATTTTAACTTTTCAAATTGCCGATGTTTTTGGGCATTAAAATTAGGATATTTTTAATTTCAATAGCCCCGCGAATCATCATTGGTAGGAATTGGTGTTCTTTTGCAAGGATTTGTTGTCTATCAGATCCGATATAATGGTTGGGACGATACTAAACATGTTGACATACTTTAAACTTTCCGATGCTTCGGTGCTTCACATTAACGATATATTCTTTTACTCGGCACTTTCATCTAAGATGCGTAAAAACACCCGTAACATTAGTTTTAATCCATGTGTAGTATTCATTATTATAGAACTGTATTTATGAAATTTTCAAGTCTATTCCAAGTAAAAACATATCTACATCTATTTTATGGTGCCAATCAATATTAAATAGGACCAATGATATGAATAAAATGTCTCAAATAAACATTATATTACTTCGTTAAAACTAAATTAACTTTAACTGTGAATAAATGTAGAGTAAAATGTAAATAATAATAATACATTTTGATTTCAAGACTATCTACCTTTCTTATGGATACATCGGAATCGGAAGACACGCCCGATATAAAAAATAGAAGGTGTTTCTAGACATATGTACCTATATATTCACATGTTTATGTAGCATGTTACCAATCATCTACGTCTAATAGTATTTTAGAATGAAAAAAAATATTTGACAGACATAGAGACATAGACACCGAGGTGACTAAAAGCGATCGAATTTTTCTAAATTTGGCATGGAACAGCATTTAAGGATGTTCCTAAATTCAAGCGCACGCGAGGGAAGCCGTGGGTAAAAAACTAGTTTTAAATAATTTCGGAACAGTTACAAAAACAAAAATAAAAGGATTACTTTTTTGTGGCTACTTAGGCAGGTATTTTTTGTGTTTTTTAAGACCTTAAAAAATAAGAATATTTTTCATAAATATGGCAAATAGTGACAGCTTCGTTTCATCGTCTGGTACGATCTGGCCAACCTTCTTTCTGATAATTACATTTACATATAATAATCTTATTTGTATTATCAATACTAACGTCATAGCAATTTGCCACACAATATAATAACTGTAATTAAATTATAATGTCTTAAAATTAAACACATTGATAAACTACTTAGACTACTTAGAAATGACAGTTGTATGAATAAAATAGTTCAATTATGTGACATTTATATTCAGTCAGGTTATAGTTTATTTATAGTTTCAGTCAGCGTGCGCGCGGTACCGCGAACAGCGGTACCGCGCGCACGCACCAACCTTCTAAAGGAGGCCCCACTGACCCGAGTGCTGCACACTCTAAATAAAGTAGCTCAGGATGTAGATTTATTCTGTTGTTCCTTGGGTGAATTCACAAAAGTGACATTATATATATTGTGTTATAATAGTAGATAAGTTGTGTTCTGTCCTTGTTAAATTAGATATTTTATGTGCCTACACTGTCGCATTAGGTACGCCTGTAAAGACAGAGGTAGAAATAAATAAATAAATAAATTAAATTAAAATTAAAAATTAAATTAATGGATTACTTATCTCACGATTAAAAAATCAGCCTTCAAGTCAGAGGACGGTAGTTTATTTTACACATATCGAAAAGAACACAAAATTAAGTAAAGTACTAGCAAACAAATTTTACGTTTTAATTTTTAGTAACGCAAATAATAAATCATATTACTTTCTTACCACTTCTAGAAGAAAAACGAACTTAATTTTTGTTTTTTATTTGTTGAACCGTAGTTAAAGGCCAATATGACAAAAATATAGGACATGAATTCCACATACTGACGCCAGAAAATATTACCTAACTTTGTTATTTTAATTCTATAATCAGACAAGTGAAAGTAAATACATTTCTGTGTAATAAAACATGTTTAGCATCGACGCTCTTTGTCATGATAAAATTGATGGAGATAGTAACCTCCCCACTATAACTAGTTACCTCATTCCGCAGATCAACACATAACTGTAATGTATTTTTACGAGCTCAGTTACAAACATGAATTCCTTTTCTTGGATTTATGTGAACTTGAATAATATTATTTGTCACATAACAAAAGTATTTGGTACTGTAATGCTTGTTGATTACCAAATTAATAGTAGTATAAATAAATAACAAATTATAGTCATATTACACTACCAATTACGTGGTGCCAGGACTTTTTTTCTGTTTCTATAAAAAACCCACTAAGATGGACGACGGTCTTAGTAAGTTTTTTATAGAATAAGGATGACAAACACGCACACTGTCGACCTGATGGTAAGTGGATGCTGTGGCCCATAAACATCTATATTTATCCTGACTAAAGAATCAAAAATGCAGATGCCTTGTCACTTCTGAGGACTGAGCTAGAGTGCCTCGTTTCCAGTAAAAAGGGTCTCCGATTCTCTACATTCACCATACGAAACACAGCATTAAGTTGCTATTTTACGCTAATTTACTGTGAGAGAGTGGTCCTAAACAGAGCCGGCCCATTCGTGCTACAACACAAGCGTTGCTCCACGTATAAAAGGTATCACCTTCTTAGCATATACCTTCTTCTGATTCATTTCTGCAGCCAAATATAAGTGCGTGCACTTCATTGCCACAGTCCGAAGGCTATAGAGAGTCAGTATAACTAACTAAGTACAGGCTGTGAGGCATTCGTTCTTCATCATCAGAGGTGACAACTCATGTGTAGCTTTTTATATTTGAAGTTAGTGGCGGGTGTTCATAGGCTACAATAGCCACTTACCATCAGGTGATCTGTACGTTCATTTTGCACTTCATATTAAAAAAATATCTAATATTGACAACTGCAGCGTTACATATTAAGTTCAAATTGCAGGTGATTCGAAACTACAGAAAACCTTTAATCGTCGTGGCTCCAAAGCTACTCCTACGACTGGCAGATGCAGTTTCCCCGTTGTCTGACTTCGCGCCCGGGACACATTTCAAGCCTGTTATCGGTTTGTATTAACTCACAACAATATCTTCATCGTCTTCATCATCATCAGACCGTAGAAGTTCACGGCTGGACATATGCCTCTCTCGTTGTGAAGGTGGACAATTCGCAGCTCGACGCTGCTTCCCATAACCGGTCTGGGCATTATGGGCATTAAAAGGAGGAGGTTCTCAATTTGAGTGTGTTTTTTGTATGTATGTTACGCGATATCTTCGCAGATTGTGAACCGATTTTAATGATTCTTTTTTAATTAAATAGGATTTACCTGAAGGGTGGTCCCCTTAAATTTTGAAGAAAAACTTCCGCCACGAAAGGTGGAAAATATGGGAAAAAGTTTCATATTAGTTTAAGGAATTTCATATGATATCTTCGCAGTTTGAGAACCGATTTTAATGATTCTGTTTTTATTAAATAAGGGTAAGAGTAGAAAATAAATAATTTCGTTTTTAGGAATTTATAGTCGGCTTTTAATTTTTCTTAAAAGTTATAATTATTAGTTCTATAGTGAAGTACATCAGACGTAAAATGCCTAGATCGAAGACTGACAGCAACGTCAAAGGTGAGAGACGTCTGGCACTACGATCCATCCACCTGACAAGCTTAGAGCTAATCCTTAGTACAACAGAAGAGGCTCATGTCCAGCTTTGGACTTTTACGGGCTGAAAAAGAAAAACAAGATACTCTTTTACTTTTACTCTAAAAAAAGAAGGAAGCCTCGCCACTAGCTACGATTTGTTTTGTAAAAATAAAAGTAAAAAAATACTTTAATTTTTCTTTTTAAATTCAAGTGACTAACGAACTTACAATCTGCCTGATGGCAAGTGTCTACTGCAGCTGATCAGTATCCATCATGAGTAACCAGTTTCAAACAAGGAAAGCTATAGATTGCGCTATCACCAATGAGGACAAAGATGGAACTCCTCAAATCTTGTAATTATTATGTAGTGATACAAACAATAAGAACACTAAAGTGAACAAAATAAACTTTTTACGCTAAGCCGTTTAACCATTTTTTTTTTGTTTTAGGTGACACCGTAGCGGAACCATTAAAAGTCAAACGAGTGATATTAGTGAGCGGGAAACATTATTACGAGCTACACAAAGAAAGAATGAGGGCGAATATTGACGACGTGGCCATTTTGAGAGTTGAATCGCTAAGTCCATTCCCTTTGCAGGCTCTACAAAAGGAACTCGAAAAATATAGTAATGCTAGAAGTGAGTTTCAAGTTTATTTATATTATTATATTATTTATCGTCGACTTGTTAGATCTTTATCAGTTATCCTCCTCTCATTTCAAGGAATAGTTAACTATACTGCACCAGGACAAATTGGCGGACTTCATATATCACACTCTTGTCTTCTTTGGTAGGTTATAACCTTAGTAGGGGGCTCGCCGTTATCACCACACTTGGCATGCTAGCCTGCAATGTAGTGCCAGTCGCTTTTTACCATTGGTCCTGCGCCTGATCTCGCTCCTGTCGTGTAGGATCACTGTCCTATCGGACTATGAGAGTGAACAAATAGAGAGTTTACCTGTGCTAGCGCATACACTATCCTATCCTACGCTGATGGTTATTCTCTGTTGAAAGTGGCCGCCGTGACCGGAATTCGTTCTGGAGGACATTAATTCCCATCTTATGTATGTAGGTTCCTTTCTCCGGTATCTCTACACATGGTATAAATACGGGATATTCCAGGTATTTCCCTAAGTTGCCTCTTACGACACATAGAACCATGATCTCGACCGGGGAAGAACCACGCCCTCACAGAATACCAGCGTAAAATAGCAGCTTAATGCTGCTGTGTTTCGTACATTGAGTGTAGTGAACCGTAGACTCTTTTTACTGAACACAAGGCATTCCATCTTTGTCCTTAGGGGTGACAATTCATGTGCATTTTGATTCTTAATAGAGGATTAATATACTTAGATGTGTAATGGCCGCAGCGTCCACTTTTCATCAACTGGACTATATGCTATGTGTAACTGAAAAGTAATCGTGTAAAAATAAAAAAGTTATGCAGCCGGGAAAATATACAACAAACAAAAATAAAACATTATGTTCACTCCTTTGGAAGTTATAATTTGTGTTGCTATATTCGCAGAGTGGATTTTATATTTTAAGTATTACGTTGTTTGCATAAATTTAATAATCATTTTAACTTGGTAAAAGCTTGTTAGATTATATTATAAGCCATAAACTTGTATCTCAGAAGCGAACTTTGAGTAGATATTGTCAAACGGGATCTTATAAACCTTTGTGTCAACTCTAATGGACTTTAAACTAATGTATCGCTTAAATAAATACATTTAGGGGAGATTTACAGGACTATCTATTTAAATTAATAGTCGCCTAGACGAAATTCGATCGTAATTCATTAAAATTTTAAGTTTGTATATCAAACAAGCTGTAGGTATTTAATTATAACTGCACATTAAAACACAGATATCTCATATACAAAATATAAAATAAAGGGTTTTTGCCTTGACATACTTTCAACAGAATATTAAAATATATTAAAAAAGGCAAAATTAAGTAGTAATTATTACATATTGGCAACATTTTAATCTACTATCTAAACTCTCACAGAATAGCGGCGTGAAGTGGAAGCTCTGCTTCTGCGTTTCGTCTGGTGAGTGCCGGTGACCGGAGGCCCAACGACCATGCTACTCCACTCCTGAGCGTGGGTGTTCAGGCTGCCCCGCGTATTCTGGGGGGGACGGGACGAAATTTCGCTCAACACAATAACTGCTCGGGGCAAACTGAGCAACAAGACCATGGTGACCCCTGCCACGCTATCTGTGAATTTCTGCAACATCAGGGGACTTCACTCGAACCTAAACGCCGTCCACTACCATCTCGAGACGACGAAGCCGGCCTTGCTCTTTCTGAACGAGACGCAGGTGTCCTCTCCGGCTGACACTTCGTATGTCTCCTACCCGGGGTAACAAATTGAAACACTCCTTTGTGCCTCGGGCTGGAGTTTGCGTATACGTCAGAGAGGACATCTGTTCTCGACGCCTCAGCAGTTTTGAATGTTCGGACCTGTCCATCCTTTGGCTACGTGTAGATAGCGACGACCATCCGCGCGTCTACGAGTGCCTCTATAGGTCCCATAGCGGTAATGCCGAAACAGACCGACTCATCGACCACGTCCAAATGGCTACAGATTCCTTGCTACATCCGCAAAGATCGTGATCCTTGACGATTTTAACGCCCACCACGTCGAATGGCTCGGTTCACGTTTAACCGATCATGTGGGGAGATCTGTTTGTGACTTGCGTGACTTGCCTTGGCATATGGTCTGACACAACTGGTTACTTCGCCTACACGGATTCCAGATGTGGAGAATCATACACCTTCCCTGTTGGACCTTATGCTGACCGCTCATCCGGACGGATATCGGCGGATTGGGACAAAATGCGGTCTTTCTTTGCATCCTACCCATGGGGGCGGGTTTGCTTCTCGCCGCATGATCCCAGCGCTGTTGCTGACTCTGTCATTGATGTGGTGCTACAGGGAATGGAACTATTTGTTCCATAATCTGTGGTAGCTATCAGAAGCAGATCTCAGACTTGGTTTGGTCGCTCCTGTAAGAATGCATTACGCAGTAAGAAGGAGTGCTATCAGGCCTGGGCTGAAGCTTCGGCGGCTCGAGATGTAAACACCAGCATACTTAAAAAGAAGTATAACTTCGCCTCCAGGTCCTTCAAAAGAGTTATTGCCAAGGCAAAATCAGAGCAGATAGGCAGACGTGGCGAGAAACTAGTTCGCCTTCCTTCGGGAACCCGTGCATACTGGTCTCTCGCCAAGGCTGTCCAAGGGAATTTCTGTAAGCCATCACTACCATCTCTGCACAGGGAGGACGACTCACTGGTCCACGCCGCAAAACAGAAAGCTGACCTTTTAGGTTCCCTTTTTACGTCCAACTCGACTCTTGATGACGGGGGGAACACACCGCCGACCATCCCGCGGTGTGAGTGCTCCATGCCGGATGTGCGATTCTCGCAGCGCTCGGTTCGCAAAGCACTCTTCTCCCTGGACATCCGCAAGTCGAGTGGGCCTGACGGAATCCCTCCAATTGTGCTGAGGACGTGTGCTCCGGAGTTGTTACCGGTTTTACTGCGTCTTTTCCGGTACTCCTACTCCCTAGGCGTAGTCCCGAAATCATGGAAGACAGCTTTTGTACACATGAACCCTAAAAAAGGCGACCAGTCCAACTACAGGCCTATCGCCATCACCCCCTTGTTCTACAAATTAATGGAATCCGTTATAAGCTGCCACCTCATGCGGTACCTTGAGGATCACCAGCTGATTAGTGACCACCAATACGGTTTTCGTCGGGTTCGACCAGCTGGTGATCTGGTCTACTTGACTCATACTTGACTACGGCTCCGTGGTGCAGAGGCTTAGCAATCAGTTGTTGCGCTTGGGGCCGCGGGTTCGAACCCCGCACGGAACAAGTATTTGTATGGCCTACAAATAATTGTTCCGGATCTGGATGTTTGTCCTTGTGCAATTTATGTTTGTAAATTGCCTCCACGATACAGAAGAAAATCCTAGTGTGGGGGTAACGTTTTCTAAAATGAAAATGAAAAAAAATTGAAGCGCGGAGAGAGTAGAGTCCAAGAGGGAGGCATTGGCCGTTAGTTTGGACATTGCGAAGGCCTTCGATCGGGTTTGGCACAAAACGCTTCTCTCGAAGCTCCCTTCCTGTGGGCTTCCCGAGAAATTATGCAATTGGATCACCAGCTTTCTTGCAGATCGGAGCATCAAGGTCGTTATAGACTGTGCATGCTCCGACTACAAGCCTATTAACGCTGGTGTTCCACAAGGCTGCGTGCTATCACCAAAGCTGTTTCTTCTGCATATCAATGATATGTTGCAAACCGGTAGCATCAATTGCTATGCGGATCACAGCACTGGTGATGCTCTATACACCGGCCGTGCCAATATTTCTCGGGAAAACGTCACCGAGTACCGGAACAAACTTGTGTCTGAAGTCGAGTCTAGTCCAGTTTAATCCTCAGAAGACACAAGTTTGCGCGTTTACCGCTAAAAAGAACCCCTTTGTCGTATCTCCTCAGTTACAAGGCACTCCCCTTATTGCCTCAGCCAGTATCGGAATCCTCGGCGTTGACATATCGAGTGACGTGCAGTTTCGTGATCACTTGGAAGAGAAGGCCAAATTGGCCTCTAAAAAGCTTCGCGTGCTCAGCAGAGCGGGACAGTATTTCATGCCAGCACAACGCCTGCAACTTTACAAGGCGCAGGTTTGGCCCCACATGGGATACTGTTCCCATCTCTGTGCTGGGGCTCCCCAGTGCCAGCTCCTTCCACATGACCGCATCCAGCGCAGAGCGGCTCGAATCGTCGACGACCGAGTCCTTTCCGATCGGCTCGATTCATTAGCGCTGCGACGACATGTTGCGTCTCTTTGCATTTTCTTTCGCATTTACCACGGGGAGTGCTCTGAGGAATTGTTCGGATTAAGCCCAGCCGCCAAATTTCACGAACGCACGTCGCGGCAGAACTCCCGATACCATCCACACCATCTGGATGATTGGCGGTCCACCACTGTGCGATTTAGAAGATATTTTCTTCCTCGCACAACTTCCTTGTGGAATAGTTTACCACCAGCGATTTTTTCGGACCGATACGACTTAGGGACCTTTAAGAAAAGAGCCTACTCCTTTTTAAAATGCCGGCAACTCAACTGCAATTCCCCTGGTTCCGCTGGTGTTGCGGTTGTTCATGGACGGCGGTAGTCACTTACCATCAGGTGAGCTGCATGCTCGTTTGCCCCCTCTCCTATAAAAAAAAACTCTGTGCGTCTGTTTTACCACAGACTATCATGTGTTTGACATTGGCAGTATAAACATTAAGCAAAAGACAGACTTAATTCGACATTGTCAGTATGAACACAAACAACATGTTTTAGACAAACGAAATATATATATATATTTTAATTTTAGAAATTTTGCAATGACAATACAATAGTAAAAAGAAATTTAATATTAAACTTAAACAATTTCTTAACAAGTGCTGTATTTTTTTTTCTTTGATTATTATTGTCATTGTTTGATGCAAAAACAGTAATATGATAATTATATTTGTCAAAAAATCAACATTTTTGAATATTTCACTTTGTTTTCATTCAAAAAAATTGTAACAAACATAATTACAAATTAAAAATTTTGTACAACTGACTTCAATATAAATTATTAAGAATAACTCAATAACTGTTGGTCAGACCTTGATCTGTAGAAGCACCAGCTTTCAAATAAAAAAGAATCATCGAAATCGATTCACTCAGAAAAAAGTTATGAGGTAACACACAAAAAGATATATACAGTCGGTAGAAAATATAAAACTTTAATAAACTTCTATCACGTGATCTTGTTATATATGTATATAAGAAGGGCTCCAAGAAGTAAAAAAATTATATGCCAATTATTTAAACTTTTATGCCGACTTTTGTAAGAACAGAGATTGGAAAAAAAATTGTTAATTAACAACCGTATAACCAATAACAAATTTTTAGGCGCGGGAACAAGAATTAACAGGTTTTTGAACTTGTTGACTAGTAGAGCCACGCCAGAGCTATATTATGGTTGAAACATGAATAAGTAGGCTCGAACGGGAAATGACCACAATCTCACAGAATACCAGCATAAAATAGCCGCTGCTGTGATTCTTAAGATTAGTGTAGAAACCCCCTTTTACTGGAAACGAAGCATTCCATCTTAGTCGCAATTTTCTTATTCGTTAATTTTTTTCTAGAATTCATTTGGAGTCAAGAAGAACACCGGAATATGGGAGCGTGGACCTTTGTGAAACCACGATTTGAAAACCTTCTTGGAAGAAGAGTAAATATCAACTTTTATATTATGTGTAATTAAATTTTAAAAAACTTTAATATTTTGGTACGGTTTGATACTTTGGTACGAGTAATTATTAAAACAGTGCTAAAAGTGTCTAATTTTTTATATTAAATGGTCGTGTCAACAACCTAGTTTTTCTGCAGTAAAATTATTTCAGAATAGTCTCTATTAGAAATACAGTACTTCACGTACACTGTCTCACTAACCTGCCGCAAAGCGGAACCACAGGAAATCGAACACCGCGCTGAACTAGTTTCCGACCTACATTGCTACTGTTAACTATTCCGTTCTTCGTCTATATTTAATTAACATATTATGTATTTTAGTTACAATGGAAACTTAGCTAGCTTGAAATTTCAGACACACTAAATAATTCCTTCTTATCATCATCATCATCAAAATTTATTGCTGTATATGGACCGCTGTCATTGTTGGAAAATTAGCCTTAATCGTCATACTTGCCAGGCGGTTAAACGGTCACAGTTTCAGACGTCTCGCACTCTTAACGCTGCTCCCTGTCGCCTTTCTGGGTATTTTACGTAAAGAGACTGTTATATGACCATCTATCGGAAACTATTATTCTATTATTTTCTGTGTCGCCTCTTACGACACTGTAATGAAATACGGACACTGAACAATAACGTTATCTAAAAGTTGCGTTATGTAACCAGATCATCCGTTCATGCATCCATAACGGCTTAAAAATTTTATAGTTAATCGTGTTACCATTTAAATTTAAATGAGGGTATTCCATCCATTCTATTACAGCCCATAAAAGTCCACTGCTGAATAGGCCTACCCCATAAATTACTCATAGGGGAGACTTTTTCTTAGTCGCCAAGCTTGGCTGGTGGGTCGGCAAGCAAATTTTTTTTATTATTTGGAGTTGCTATAAAGAAGATACTGCGCTCAATCTTTTGTTTTAGTTTACCTCTGTCACCTTTTACGACACTCACAATACGATATGGGTTAGCAGATAATCTGACACCGCCACTACACAGTACTGGTAGTAACCAGATACATATTATACAGAAATAGACCAGTAGGCCCCTGTAGAGTAACAGTCGGTGGAGCATTAGCATACAGCCAATCCGGGAAGACTAAAGATTAAGATACGATTTAACTTAGTAATATTATTCGATGTTGAAGTATGCAAGAAGTTGATGATAGATGCAGGTTGCTCAAAACCGTTTTTTTTTATAGTAGAGGGGGCAAACGAGTATGCGGCTCGCTTGATGGTAAGTGACTACCGCCGCCCATGAACAACTGCAACACCAGGGCAAGAGCCGGCCTTTTTTCTATGGTAGTCATTGAAACAGTGGACTTGTGATGGACTAAAATAACGATGGTGATTGTTAAGTGGTAGAGCCACGTTGCATTTCTGAATCTGCACTCTGAATCTTGTGTATTTTCTGCGGTGTCAGTGCTGATAGCCAATTGGCTTCTTCAGCTTCATCGTGAATAGATGGAGTGGAGATGCCTTAATGCCACCGCATTTACTCACCATCAGGTGGACTATATGCTCCCTTAATAGTATAAAATGTTTATTATTGATAATTTCTTCAAAAAACTAATTTTTTTACTATAATTAATAAAAATTAGCTCAAGGGCTTATCGCTCACTTTATTTTCACAGTATGCCAGCAACCATGTCATTTATTTAAATTGTTAATTGTAATTTTAAGTTCTGATTTACCACATGCTCAGTAATGAAGGAAAATATCGTAGGGAAACCTGAAAGTCTGAGAAGTTAGAAAACATTTTAGCACATGTGACACCAACACGTATTGGAGCAGCGTGGTGGAAACTTCTTTGACCTAAAACCCTCTCAAAAATAACATAAGGCCTGTGCCCAGGTGTGAGGCGTATATAAACTGTAATTTTACCTTTTATTTACCACAATTTATGCAATTCACAGCTGACGTACGCGGGTAGGGCGGAAGCGGCAACTCCAGCGGTTGGCGCAGCGACATTACACCGAGCAGAAGTTGAACATGTGCTACGCGAACCACTCTACAATATTAAATAACCTGCACATACTTTTATATAAAATTAAGAAATCTTTATTTTGTTAAATAAAATCTGTTATTTGAATTTATGTAATTTAAATACGTATTCTTAATGCGCGGAATATAACAAATAAATAACGAGTGTATTAATGCGTTCCTTTTATCTCCTCAATTTACTCATAACAAACCTTTCCTTCAAGTTCTAATCTCACCTACGACGAATCAAACGAGACTAAAGACTAATTGGTGGAGGACAGTCTTCCCAATCGTGCAATGCAAATACCAAAAGCCAGTGATGATGATTAACATTACCTACCGGTACAGAATAAATAATAGTACTACCTACCAGTAAGAGAGTAGCGGTTTCGTGAGCTCATTTCCCGTTTAGCGCTATGCGCATTGGCAAGTAGACTAAACAATATAACATAAGAAACAAAAACATAACTTAGTAAAATTCATTTGTCCTATTAAAGTCCTCTGCTGAATAAAGGCCTTCCCCGAGGAAATGCTCTTAGGGGGATCCCTAAGAGCATTTCTTCGGAGCATTTCTTCATTATTGCGATAGTTGCCATGCTTGGCAGGCGGGTTGGCAACCGCAAATTTTTATAATTTTAATTTGTCATCAGGAAGATGCTGCTGCCCATCTCCTGTTTCAAATCCCTCTGACGAACACATTGATCAAATACGCACTTTTCAACCGTTTTAACTTTAAGGCTAATAAGGCAATTAGCCTATTTGCCTTAAAGTTGTTTGTAGTACGTAGGTACATACAGGTAGAAAATTTGAAATATACGAAGTTGGTTCATTCAATGAAGAAACCGTATCCAAAAAAATCCTTAAGCATCTTAATTTCATGTTTCAAATCGACGGATGGCGACAAAACCAACCATTTTAAAAATGTGAAAAAATGTATTTGAAATGTAAAATATCTAAAGATAACGGCCGAAACTTTTAATTATTGTTCTGAGGAAAACTGTATAATCAATAGACAATAGCAACAGTTGCCATAGATATCCCCGTAGTGATTATATACTCTTTGGATACCTAGTGGAAATGGCCGGTAAAGGAAAAGGCAAGAAAAAAGAAAAGAAGTCTAAAGAGGATGGCGGTGAAAAGAGAAAAGCTAAAAAAGGTGGGGGAAGACCTAAGAAAGGGAAATCAAAAGGGAGATGCAATATTGATATGCTGACGGATGCTGCAATGGATAACGTGTATTATGCATGTCATAATGTTCAAGAACTACTGCAGGCGAGAGGATTTTTTTCACCTGACTTTACCAAGAAGAAGAAAAAGGGGAAGCGATGATGAATTTAATTTTTTTAGTTGCATAATGTGTCACAAGCAATTTAACATCGTCGCTTTACCTGTTTACATTTGACTTTATAAATAAAAGTTAAAATATGTTTATTCTTTACAAAGTACGCACAGTATGTCAACTCAGCATGAAATATATTCAATTTTGTTTGTTATACACCTTTATTATTTCTCAGAGTTATACATTAAATAAAACGAATGAAATAAACTAATTTTACGGATTTTATTGCGTTTTGTTTTATTTTGTTTTTAACTCCCGACGATTAAGAGTAAGAATAGGTTAAATAAAATAAATTGAATAAAACGTGATAAAATCCATAAAGGTACCTAGATTTATTTAATGTGTAGTGTTTTCATAAATATAGAAAAAAAGAAAAAATTAATTTACAAAATGCGAATTAAAATTAGCTATCACAAGGACCTCGGGGTTCGGACCAGTAGAAACTGGTCTCTGAACCTCATGGTTCCCAATCTCGAAAGTAAAAATTGAAAAATATACTCCTCTCAAATATCAATTCGTGCAATCATTTATCTACAACAGCAGGTATATAGGTATATTGTAAATTTACTAGACTCCTAGTAAAATACTAAGTAGGTATATCTATTATTTTGTTCAGAATTTTTTTTCATAAGTTGTCTAAAATCTTTGGTAATAAAAAGGTAAGTTAGTTACTAACCTCTATTATACAAGTAATATATGAAGGTCAGTATAAATTAGTACATACTTAACCCTTTTGCTGTCCCGTGTACTACATTTATAGTTCATTGCTATTCAGGTAATTTGCTATTCAGGTTCAGGTAAGTCTTACATGGTGTCTGAAAATCGGACAGTGTAAGTGTTAACCTGAAAAAATATCATGACATCTTTATATAATGTCTGTCATGACACGTGACATGAGTCAATAAAGACAATTCTCTATCATTCTTTCAAAATCTTAAATTCATGTAAAAATGTGCTTGAAAATTATTTTAAGATAACAAACCATAATGTAGCATCATAATCCAAAATGCAAGTAAGGTATTTTATTCATCATTTATTACAACCTATGTCCACTGCTGAACATAGGCCGCCCAATAAATTGCCTGATAGGGATATTTGCCAGTCACGGCTGATGCCTGCCACGCTGGGCAGGCTGGTCCGCTATCGAAGTTATTTTTATTTTTGAATTGATATTAGGAAGACGCTGCTGTCCATCTCGTGATTCGTTTCCCTCTGGAGCCTCTTATGACACCCAAGGGAAGATATGACTCGCACCGACTAAAACCCCACGGTGTTCCACTTTCGTCGCTTATTTGTGCACATATCCGCGGCCCCAACAGCGCCGGCCACCCTATGTCACCCCTCCTTGGGGAGGACTTCTCCTCCCCCTTTTCTTTTTCAGGTCAGGCGCACCTAGAACACAAGGCGCGCACTCTTCCGCCCCCCCCCCCCCCCACCGAGTCCGATACGCGGAGACCACGGGCCACGAAAAACTAGCACAGCACTCGGAAGCACTAGCTTTGGTGACCCCAGCGGCAAATCTGGTCTCCGGTTCCGCTATAAACCAAGTTTTTGTAGGGAGAGTGGCGCCTCGCAATACCGACACTCCTCTCCACACGCAGCCCCAGCACCACCGCAACAATGTTGTGGCCCCACTAGCGTCGCGGAGGATACTGCGAGTGGCGTATTGCTATACCAACACTCCTCTTCCCCCACGTCTCCACCTCGGCTGCAGCGGTAGGGGGAGAGGACACCCCTCTCGCCGCAACCAACCAACACACATCTGAAGTGGGCTCGCCATCCCACTCGGAGTAGCCAACTCGGGCCGGCTCTACGCGTCGGGCCAGCCAAGTGGGTTTCACTTTGTTCACCGCGGGCTACCAAGCCTCCCCGCCACGAAAAGGCGGGAACCCGGCCGGTGGGGTAGATTATTAAGCCTACTGCTGGACTATTACGGACTTACAAAGAAAGCCTTTTCTTAGTAGGAAAGGTTTCTCATAATCGCTACACTTCGTAGACGGGTAGGCATGATCGCAGTAACCAATTGTCTCGTACCTTTGGAGATGCCAAGGGGACGTTACGATGACACTATTACGTCCCGTGAGTGTCAAAAGAGGTGGCTTTAGAAATGGAAAACGCCATTATGACCTTTTCCATCTTCAAAGCCACCTCAAACCTCGAAAAGCCACCTTAGCTTATTATTATATACTGGAAATTATGGCCGATAGATACCGATACCACTGCTTATATACTAGAACCAGATGAAATATATTAAATTTAGCTTACTGTTGCAACCTATCAAAAGACCACTGCTGAACATAGGCCTACCCCACAGATTGCCTCATAGGCCACAGTTGCCACGCTTGGCAGGCGGGTTGGCAACCGCAGTTCATTATTTCTTAGTCGTTGTTAGGAAAATGCAGTATGGGATAGTAGATATGCTTACACCACTACTACACAGTACTTCAGCTTAACCAACTTTAATAAGGAACTTAAGGTGAACCGACTATTCAGTTTAACGATTTTTAACCTTTATTTTTCCACATTTACAGTTCGTAATAGATTGAAAGCAAATAAAGATAAAGCAATTAACTAAAGTAATGGAAAATAAAACAAGAAATCACAGTTGTACTACGCGTGAACTCGTATAAGAAAAAATATTTTAAATTATTCTTAGCAATTTAATTACACAATGCCTATACCAGCTGTAGGAATCGACCTCGGGACAACATACTCATGCGTGGGCGTATTCCAAAATGGTAAAGTGGAGATCATCGCCAACGACCAGGGTAACCGGATCACGCCATCTTATGTCGCGTTCACGGAGACTGAGAGGTTAATTGGTGACGCAGCCAAGAATCAGGTAAGCTAAAACTAACACCTTTTAAAGAAAATAAATTTCCTTTGAAATAAGTAATTTTAGTTTATGATTAAAGAATTTTCTATGTTAACATCGGTACGCAATAATATAAAACGACTTCCAAATAAATAGTTTAGAAAGTAATTTCAAAACTGAAACCTAAAGCGTTTATACGCTGCAGCTATATTAGTTGTAGCACGAATGGGTCGGCTTGACCGGGGTAGGACCACGCTCTCACAGAATACCAACGTAAAATAGCAGATCAAGGCTCCTGTGTTTCGTATGATAAGTGTAGAAACCGGAGATCATTTTTACTGGAAAAGAGGCTCAGGGGTGACTACGCATATGCATTTTGAATCTTAATCGAGGATGAATGTAGATGTTTATGCCACAGCATCCACTTACCATCAGATAGACTGTGCGCTTGTTTGTCACAATTATTCTAAAAAAAATCAGCCATCCACATTAGTAGCAAAACATATTGTAATGTGTTACACTAACTATTTTATTATAACTTCGTTCAAACATTTTGAGTGATATTTGTATTAAAAATATATAGTATTAGTACGAATTACAGATTGCTATGAACCCAAAAAATACAGTTTTCGATGCAAAGCGAATGATTGGAAGAAAGTTTGATGATCCAAAAATTCAACAAGATATTAAACATTGGCCATTTAGTGTAGTTTCAGAAAAAGGTAAACCAATGATCGTTGTCGAATATAAAGGACAAAAAAAGAAATTTTCTCCGGAAGAAATTTCCTCAATGGTGTTAACAAAAATGAAACAAACAGCTGAAACATACCTAGGGGGTACAGTCCAAGACGCTGTAATAACTGTACCAGCGTACTTTAACGATTCTCAAAGACAAGCGACAAAAGATGCTGGAACGATTGCCGGGTTAACCGTTCTTAGGATAATCAATGAGCCAACAGCGGCTGCCCTCGCTTATGGTTTAGATAAAGATTTGAAAGGTGAAAAAAACGTATTAATTTTCGATCTTGGCGGTGGCACATTTGATGTTTCAATACTTCAAATAGCTGAAGGATCATTGTTTGAAGTGAGATCAACTGCAGGCGACACTCACTTAGGAGGTGAAGATTTTGACTGCCGAATGGTAGATCATTTCAGTCAAGAATTCGAGAAAAAATATAAGAAAAATCTTAAAGACAACCCTAAGGCTATCAGAAGGCTCAGAACAGCATGTGAAAGAGCTAAAAGGACACTTTCTTCTAGTACTGAAGCTAGCATAGAAATAGACGCTTTGCATGAAGGCATCGATTTCTATTCTAAGATATCTAGAGCTAGGTTTGAAGAATTGTGTTCCGATTTGTTCCGCCAAACATTGGGACCTGTCGAGAGGGCGCTAAAAGACGCTGGACTCAATACTAGAGAAATTCAAGATGTAATTATGGTTGGTGGTTCTACTAGAATTCCGAAAATCCAAAAGCTGTTACAGGTACCAGCAGCACCAAAACTGTTTCTAGTATGAAACCTTTTTTAATTAGTCGATATTGAAATAACCTGAACTTTTATTTGCCTTAGGACTTTTTCAGTGGGAAGACCCTAAACCTATCTATTAACCCTGATGAAGCGGTAGCATATGGTGCTGCAGTTCAAGCGGCTATTATTTCTGGATGTCAAGATACTCGAATTCAAGATGTGCTCTTGGTGGATGTGGCACCGTTGTCGTTAGGCATAGAGACAGCCGGTGGTATTATGACAAAGATCGTTGAAAGAAACACTCGTATACCTATTGCACAGAAAAAAATATTTACCACGTATGCCGACAATCAACCTGCTGTCACAATTCAGGTACGTAATGGTTGAAGTAAGTTTCAATAATTTTAACCTTTACGCAATACGCAAACACGGTAGTTCTACGCAAGTTGGTAAGCTTCCCATGACCTCGTTCTTCCTCTTTTTCTATTAATTTTCTTAGGTATGCAGATTTAATTCAACTACTTTATTCTTTTATAGAGATGCAGATTATATTGCTCTTTATACATGATAAAGCCATGCTACAGATATATTGTGGTTTTAGCACGAATTGGTCGCCTCTACCGGGGAAGGGCCACGCACCATCAGTTGGACTCAATGGTGGAGGCTTTTGTTCAGCAGTGAACTATGATATGATGTACTTTGATAGGT